CTTTTTATGGTTTGTTTACACATAGTTAACTACCTAAACAGACGGAGTATAGAATAACTGTACCTTGTCCTTCAGTAGCAGAGATAATATCCTCCTTGGAAGGTTTCTCATTGAAGATGTCTCGGTCAGCGTCAGGGCTCTTGATGTCGTCAGGGCTGCGTCGGGAGAACATGTAGAAGCGATTCTTCTTGTACGCCGTGCAGAACAGGGTGGGGTCCGTCTTCACGTTCAGCAGTGTAGGGTTCTCTGACCCTTCCATCTCCAGTGTAGTCGCTACTTTTGATTGGTTTGTGCGACCCTGGAAAATAGTAATCCAGATTTAGTATGACAGATCTCGATAATAGATAGATAAAGACCGTGTGGTATATTATGTAATAGAAGTTAAAGGACTACAGTTGGTGGTTTCCAATCTGAACTGTTACTGCCTACTTCCATGGAACAAAGTAATTATTTTATATGCAGTAGTTATTTCGAATGAATAAAAGTACACTATCGTTTTTACACATAATTATACTGAAAAACGAAAAATGTTGTATTTCGATACCTGAAACAGCGCGAGATGCAGGGGCCGCAAGTTCTCGGGCTTGCCGAGCATAGCGACGCAGCGGTTGGTGACGAGGTTGACTACCTTCACCCCCATCATCGTCGCGTAGATCACGAAGTGTCCGCTCGCATCGAACAGTACGTTCGCTAGGTGCACCGAGTCTGACTTCTCCAAGTCACGCTCCGCTGCCATACTTGAATGAAATTTTCGATATTAATCTCATTTTTACCTCCTGGATATCCAGGATTAGCAAAAAATCATGTTAAAAAATTTTTTTTTAATTTTTTTCTTAAATTTTTTTTTTATTGTTTTTAGTCTCTACGATATTACGCTGGTTACAATACAAGTACCTACTGAATTTACCAGGTGTGTTAATGCAAACTGCTTATAAAAAATTCAAGTAAAAAAGTAGTTCCATTAACTAGAAATTACGAAAACTTATCACTTAAATAAAACCAATATCCCAAATTAAACAATAAAGAAGTAGCATTACCGTCTACCAAACTCCATGTTGGGCAGCTGTTGTGTCTGATGCTGGAGGTCCTGGAAGCGCTGGAGGCTCTCGTCGAGCACCTTGTGCAGCTTGCCTGACAGGAAATTGAACACACGCACCTATTACATCAACAGACAAACATCCTACACATTACATACATTGCTCACACACACATGTACACATAATACCACCAACATGAGTTAAATATTTTAGCTTTAGTTATGAAATTGAGAAATTCGAACAATCAGATACAAAGTGTGATTTAAACTGTCAAACACCAAGCGGTCACCGGTGATCGTAACCTATTGTTCTATAATTGTGTCTATATTGATGGTGCTCGACGAGTTAAAAAAAAAATCTTTTAAAACCCTTACTTTCACAATATGCATGCAAAGAGGCATACCTTCAACATAAGTAAAGAAACAACACAAAACTTTCATCTCTGCTCTACCTATCTATCTAAAGTCAACTTCGAGTTTTTATAACATAACACAACATCACGCCTTTGATCCCCGAAGGGGTAGGCAGAGGTGCACATTATGCCACTGTACAATGTAACATCCACATTTCACTATTTATGTTATGAGTCTCATGTAATAGACTCAATATAATAATAGCCTATTGCCATATACCGGGCACAATTCCAGACTCCGTGCAACTACTGACAATTTTTAAAAACCCAGTTTTACTTTGCCCGACCCGGGAATCGAACCCGAGACCCCTTGCCTGGCAGTCACACTTACGACTACTCGGCCAACGAGGCAGATTTTTATAAATAAATAAATTAATGAAAACTTAACAATAGTTTAAAAAGTGTTTGTCAAATGTCATCATCATCATCCCAACCGATTTTGGCCAGAGCAACGAGACTAACTACCTAAATATAAATACTATAAAAACATTAGCAATACATCATCTTACCTTTCTATCCAAACTGATTGACGCCATTTTCTTCCCATCAGGCGAAAACGCGAGCGCAGTAGGATAAGTCTTTTTCTTCACAAATTCATACAAATCTGTATCCAGCTTAGATTCTAATTGCACAGTCTTAGGAAATTGGTATTCATGCTTGGGACCTGTCCAGTATTCAATGATCCCTGCTTTGTCTACAGAGACTGCGGTTTCATATACCGGGTTATATTTGATGGTGGTTACTGTAGCTTGGTGAAGAGTCTGGAAGGTGTGTAGTGGAGTGCTTGAGGTCTGTGTACCATCGAATATGTGGATCTTGTTACTGGCTTTCTCGGAACTGTAAAGTAGAAATAACATGGGCTGAAGTATTGAGAGATACTTTTTTTTATGAGATAAGCCGGTAAACGAGCTGGCGGATCGTTTACCGGCGTCGATTGCTTACCGGATGGTAAGCAATCGACGCCGCCCATAGACGCCTGAAACACCAAAGGCGTTACCAGTGCGTTAAGGGCCTTTTGGGGTCGCGGAGAACCTAACGGGTGCAGGAGTAGGAAGGGGGTGGTTTTTAGTCAGTAAGAGTCTGACACTCCCTCCCGCCTCCCAAGCGGAAGGAGCCTTCGATGATTTTCCCCCTTTAAAAAAATGGGCCTTTTGGGAATTGGGAATTTGAGTATTGTGAAGGATCAATACCTCATTAGGATTAGGATAGACTGGGGAGGGGAGGGGAGGTAATGAGGTTTCCAGTAACCTCACTTACACGCAATGCAAGTGTTGTTTCACGTCGGTTTTCTGTGAGGGTGTGGTTATCACTTGGGTCGAGCCACCCCATCGGTACCGAAGCAAGGCTCTCCCACACTTATACATACATAATTTCACGCCTGTCTCCCATGGGGGTAGGCAGAGACTAAGGAACGCCAATTACTATGATTCTTACATACCTCTAAAATTATACTAGAATAAATTAATAGTTTGGAGTTTGAAACATCTCTTGTTTGGTTTGTTTCTTTTATTACAATCAATGATATTAGAGTAGAATAGGATAGAAACATTCTTTATTGTACACCATATAAAAAAAAACACATAGGACAAATATTTAGAAATCAGTAATACAATGGTCAGTCTTATTACTATTAAGTGAATTAATCCCAGAGTCTGCACATTATTATTGCAAGAATGTTGTTGAACTGACCTTATGTGTTACATATAGTTAGTATCAATATGTTATCAGAGTAGTAGTGTAGTTATCAATGTAGGATTAAGAAAGTGATTATCATTAGCTTAGATCACAACTATACTTACATAGCTAGAGCAGATATAGGATCCCCAGCCGAGTGCACCCACTCAGCAATGTATGGCTCAAACTCTATTGATATCATGTTGATCATATCTGAAATGGAAATCCATATTTGTGAATAAAACTATAAGCTTCTTGGCTGAGATGTCTAGCTATGAGCCGAGAGGTCTCAACTATAAATGTCTTATTGTCATAAATTAAGTCCAAGAGTCCAAGATCACTATTTTACATACCTAGAGCTGAGAGCAAATAATTCATCGATTTAAGCAGGTAAGTCTTGTTTTGGTTGAATGTTAATGTTAATTAAGTTTGTAGCTGAGAGCTTAGTACAAGTCTGTCATACGTTTAATCGAAACGAGACCCCTCGGCACTCTGATTAATTGGAACATTGGACCCAGCCAATCAGAACGCCGAATGCATCTTCGTTTTAATTACTTTAAACATGAAACAAATCTAGTAACCTAAAAGTATATGCAAATATGGAAAACTACTAGTTTATATGTTAGAATGTATCTTACCAAAATTAATAACATCAAAAACTTTGATTGTTTTCTCCGGAGAGGCTGTGCAGAGCAGTGTACCGGTAGTTTTGGTGGCAACATGACTGATAGGAGCAAGGTGGCAGCGGAAATGCTTAACAAATTCTATGCCCTCTTCCTGAAACACAATCATACATTTATCTATATAATTACTAGTTTGAAGTAAGGAGGAGTTGATGGGTAAATAATAGGTCTATACTTATTCATTCTTTGGTAACGTACATGTTTACAAGAATCTTCAATAGAGATAAATTGCAAATTGGTAAATTATTTTTAGTATACTTAAAAGTATCATGTTTTACCTGTTTCTTCCAAAATTTTAAGTGACCATCTTGACTAGCGGTGATTACGAAGTCTGTCTTAGTGACTACAATGTGTGTGACCACATCTCGGTGCATGTAACTGAACTCGTAAGTCTCCGAAGATGGCAAATTCTCCATGTAAAGAGATTCAAATTCCAATACTTAAAAAAAAATGAAAGAATTTATATTAGTCCACATTAGCTACCATATACTTTGATCTATGTTCGTTAATTTAAGAAACTGTAAATAAATTACTGTACCTTTTCGCTTTTTTGGTTTAGGTTTCGATGCCTCAGACGGCATAGGCCCTATCCAACCGTCATTTTCATCCGTTTCTTCTTTTTCATCAACACTACTACGTCTCTTTTCTGCAGACATTATTATATCGCCTGAAACAAGACCTTTTCTTTCAAAATCGTAATTCTAATTACTATGTTTCTTCATAAACACCGTGCTATTGCTATCGATATTCTGCAAGTCGGAATTTGTTTGACAACTTGACTTGACAATGGAGTTTTTTGACATTTAACAAAAGTCTTTTGCTTTTCCCATTCGCTTCTCTGTTCAGTTTCACGCATGGTTCCATGGTTTCACGGAAATAAATAAACAATTTACTATTCTTTCATTGGCTGAATTAGCGTGTCTCTTCTCATTGGCTTAAAATTTATCCTCTAGAGTGTCTATTGGTTAATAACTGACTATAACCATAAACAATAAATTAGAAATCTATCGAAATTACTCAAATTAAATTTTATATGTTTTCCCTAACATTTTATTATATTTTAATCAATGAAATGGTTTTTAAGATTCGTTAGCTTTATTTTAAAATTTTTGGTAACGTTATATCTTTAAAATATATTTTGTAATAATCACTAGTCACGTCGGAGGAGCGTTGGAAACTTTTTACCTCTGTTGTCTATGCTCAAAATGTCTTTTACGGATTCGTAGTGATGGTGGCTGGCTTCCTTGCAAACGAAGCGTCGTAAATTACATCTTATTTGTAAATTTTAATAAAAATTTGATCGTTAAACGATCGAATCAGTAGTGATTTAAGTGCTCAAGCAGTTTCACATCCAATCGGTAAGTGTAAAGTGCATCATTTATTGTGAAACCGCGCGCTACCGGTACCTCTACACGTGGTTAGGCTGTTAAACGGCGTACGTATGTTACAGATGTGTTTTCTTTTAAATATCAGCAAAAATAATAATTACATTGATTCCCCAAGTGCTTTCAAGTGAAAATTGTATATTTTTATGTCAACGCATTCTGTATAGGTTGTTTATTGAACGTGGTTAGTTTGACAAACGGTGACTCGTTGCTGACACATAAAGCTGCTGTTGAGGTAATTTTATGGTAGAATATGTTATCGGGATTCATTTATATTCGCATTATAGCAGCCAGCTCGATCACAGAAAGTTGTTCAATCATCAGCTTGTGGTATTTTCTTCAAGTATTTATCTAGTCTACTGTTGTAACTTTCTTTTTTTTCTGTTAGTGTAAGACAATGACGCATCGCTGCACTATGAACAGCATGTGGGAAAGTACAAATACGTATAGTATGTATAGGAACCTTACCAAGCCTAGTTTAACATGTGGTAAATTGTGTACCTGTTACATGCTTACACAAAGGACCCTTTATATGTTGAAATATGCCAATTCAGTGGTACCTTCAAACGTGGTATTATTCACTTCAATTTATTAGGGATGAAAGTATTTTCACTGTAATACTAAATGCATTTGTTGTTTTTGTAGTCATTCTCTTTCCATAGATATACAATCATGTTTTTTAATCATTCAAGGACATTGTCCGTCTTGCCAATAAAGATTAATTTTATTTATTAGTTCTCATCATGTGTTCATATAATTACAGTGACTATAATTTCTCAGTATGAAAGTCAATGTAATCAATGAACAATTAAAACAACAGAGATTCTAAGAATTTAAATACTTCAATTTAATTTTCACATTTCATTTGCTGCGGAATCATTAGAAAACCAGTTACTAATTATTTATTAAAGTAGTAGTATACTAGTGTAAGTACTAAGTGTACTAGTACTTAACTATTTTAAAACAATCACAGATAATATTATAACTGTTACAAAAGGTACATTATTGTTAATGAAATAAGTTTTCTTTATTTTTCTTTTTTACTTTTCATCAATAAGTAAAAAGGTTTGATACACTTAAGTAAAATACTGTTGGCACACTCAAGCTATTGCTTCATTGACCCTATAACAGTTGTGTTTAGAAAGTCATTCATTTCGTGTAATTGCATCACAACCAACTCGATTTCACACAAAAATTCATGTCGGATATTAACATTTTTGATGAGCATTTTCATGAGTAAATATTTGTTTTAAATTGTCATTTATTTGGTTTGAGATAAGTTTTAATTCTTTGTCAAACTACAGGTAAGAACTTTGATGGACAAAAAAGACCACATGGAGTAAAAATTTATTTATTACATGGTCTTGTGTATTTAACAGTTATTCTAACATATTCTACAATTCCTAAGTAGGTATATAACTTTGTCATTCAGCTTTTTGCCCTCACATATACCTACAATTTATCTAATGTGCACTTCAACAAATAAGTATTGATTCTCCTGAGACCTATTTAATACATGTGATGTGTGGCCACACACTAATGTAGCCTAGAGTAAATTGGGACAGAACTAGAGTATATACACTAGTTCTGTTGTTATAATTACACCTACATTTAATGACTTTCCCTATTACTGCTTTTATTTTACCCCCTCTACATCTGACTTACATTTTACCGAGTTGAAACACTAAAAGAACTCCACATCACCTTAATACTGTAAGGTGTTCCAAATTGTTAATACAATTCTATTGTAATCTGTATATTTGGGGACAAGTGCTTACATCTGTATATTTGAGAACAATTCTATTACATAACCATAATAGTATTGGTTATGCAAATAAAGTACTCAATAATGTCTCGCTATGGTGTTGATCAATAGTTTAGAGGCCAAAGAAAGGTGTCGCCATGTCGAGGTCGCTCGGCCGTATTATTTATGTTCTAGATAACAATATTGTTTCAATCATTTATTGTTTTAACTGCTACACACACAAGTTTATAACCATCTGTATAAATAATGTGTGGCTGTGGTTGCTGCATTGCACCATGAACATTGTTCTTAGTAAAATCTCAAGGATTACTTGACTTTATAAATCGTTATTTATACTCTATAATAATTGTAGCATTACTTCGCTCACTAATGTTTTCATCATTGGAAAGTTCTTAACACAATCTAACGCATGTCTCAAGAGCCAATAACCAGGACAAGTGTCTCTTAAAATGACCAAGTCAACAGACCTTGTGGAATGTGCGACGTTCATATATTCTCAATTGTTTTGCATCGTAGCGGGCCTCCCTTATACGTTTCGATCAAAATGTTAGCCGCGAGTCAATTGCTGACAATCGTACGTAATTTGCCGTGATCTTGGCACATGAAGCGCGTTATCAACCTCAGGGTCATCACGTCAGCGGAACTTCTGTGCAAATAACTCAATGATAATGTCTCTGTTACACTTACGGTCTGAAAAGGAGTAAGAAAGAGATGGCAGAGGCGAATGACCGTATATTATAAAGGTCATTATTACAAGGTCAAAAAAGTTCACTGAATTTAATGTTCGTCCGAAAACATGTTTTAACACACCATTTTATAATCTTGACTATATCAATTTATCCAAATTTGTAGTCTTGCCTTTCTGTACGCTAAGTGAAATGTTGTTCTGTCACTGTTCTCGTAGAGGTACCGTTACTACAGAGTAACAAGAGAGTATAACCAACTAAGTGCATCATATTGTTCCAGACAATGAGTTCGAGTGTATGCTACAAGTGTAACCGGACAGGGCACTTTGCCCGCGAGTGCACCCAGGGTGGTGTTGCTGCTCGTGACTCTGGTTTCAACCGTCAGCGCGAAAAGTGCTTCAAGTGCAACCGCGCTGGGCACTTCGCACGGGATTGCAAGGAGGAGGCCGACCGTTGCTACAGGTTAATATTATTTTAAGACATTTTCAGTTAAAGAAAAAGTAAGTGCTACGCCAGACACTGTTGACGCCTAAAAACGACCGGTCCATCATAACAATATAAGCGCCTTGACTGTACATCTAATCGTAGTTTGATGGTGTGTATTTGAAGGGGAGATATAAGATCGGTGACCCGTTGCTCAACTCAGAGCGGTTAGTTGACTGCGGTAGCGCAAATCAATCAAGCATCTAGTTGTAACGTTGCTATAGGTTAACGACACTTGTAATGATACGTGTTTCGTGTAGACATCGGGTATCTCCATTGGCTCGTTACGCATGAGTGGTCACGTTTGAGTGTCTGTACTCACGCGTAGTATCAGCAAGCGTGCACTTACAAGGAAACCAGTGCCACGCGCCGTTCGTATCCACGTGAAAGGAATAACTGAACACCAAATAGTTCCTTATGTATGTTGAAACACTGAATCTTAAAACAGTTTTATTTAGTTGATTTATTTCTCTTTTGTGATTACTTTCAAGTAGTATGCAATTAAATCAATATATCCAATAAAACAGTGTGTCCAAGAGAAGTTACTGAGCCAATTCAATTCGTTGGTAGGCGACCAACATAGTGCCAGCCATGTTTAAATAACGTTAGATTTAAGTGCATGTTAGCTAACCGGGGCTCTTATCCGACTCACGTCGGTTTATGATTAGATCATATCTAAAACCAGTTTCGATAACGAGGTTAAGAGTCTTCGGTGTTTCTTTGCTATTCGATTTAGCTTGAAAGTCCATTCGAACTAACGAATTGTTTTAATCATACTTCTATATTTTAATTATTTCGCGCATAAGTTACATTATGTCATAGAGAAAGTGTTGAGTGTTGTGTATCTGTCTTCTAGTACTCAAACATCACGTGTCATAGACTATTAGCATTGACCTTGACTTCTACACACGTGCTGTATTCGATTGTCATCGACCTTTCTTTTTTAATTTATTTAATATTATACATGTAATAAAACTTGTGTGACTAGAGTTTTTAGAACGAATGTTATTATTTTGTAATAATGTATTTTTTGTGTACAGATGTAACGGCACGGGACACATAGCGCGTGAGTGCGCGCAAAGTCCGGACGAGCCGTCGTGTTACACTTGCAACAAGACCGGGCACATCGCACGGAACTGCCCAGAGGGCGGGCGCGACAGCTCCAACCAGACCTGCTACAACTGCAACAAGTCCGGCCACATCTCACGCAACTGCCCCGACGGCACCAAGACTTGTTACGTGTGCGGAAAGCCCGGACACATCTCCCGCGATTGCGAAGAGGAGCGGAACTAACATACGCCTCTTCGCGACTGCCTATATATAAAATAAACTATGTATATTATGATGCCACGCACGGACGATAAGCAAAGGACGCGATACGCGACACTAGATCGTAAGACCACACGACTGTATGAAATTAATGCAACGGAATTATAAATCAGATGCAGCAGCGGTATTCTCGTGACAGACTGAGGTGTATGATTTTTAAAATGTTGACTTGTATATAGGTCTCCCCGCCGCGCGAGCGCCGGCGCCGCTCGTCGATAAGTACGTTAATGTTTGTTCTTGCACGACGTGAACGAGTTATTGTGTTTTAAATCATTTAATAATCGTGATTGAACTATTGAGGAGGTAGCGTTACAGTTTTTAGCATTACAGAGTATATATTTAATATATTTTGTACAGATTTTTTTGACAAAAGATAAATTGGATGCTGGCGTATAATGAGTTTTCAATGTGAAGAGTGGAGGCCCCGGAGCGACCCGAACCCCTACTGGACTCTCTTGTTCGTCTTGGTATACAGTATACGTTGATCTTACGCGATCGTAATGCGATCTGACGAGTCTCAATCTTACATCCTATCACTTCGCGTGATTTATTTTTATTGATCAATTCCTTTGTTTATGAGATCCTGCAAACTTGTGGAGAATTCAGTGGTTAATTAGAGTTTCATCAATCAAAACATTTTTTATTTTGTTATCCCTGTCAATGTGCCTCTCTGTAACACTGAAATGTATAATGATACTCGATTTACAGTAGTGGGAGATGATTTATTAATAAAATCTTGCCTTATTATTTCACAGTTTTCATCTTGCCCTATTTTTATTAGTTAGTATTTGTTTTAACTACACAAACACACACTGTAATTTCAAAATCTCCCAAGTATAATAAAATTGATTTAGTTTACATTACTGAGCTCATAATTATGAATTGACTGAACAAGAGGGCATTACCTACCTATCCTTCAACCAAACCTGAACACATACCCACATAAAATTTACATTGATTTATTTCATTCAATCCCTTGTCACACAAATATGTTCTTTTAGAAAGAACACCTGCACACTGGCCATAGCCATGGTATCCCATTTACATCATTTATATTTAAGTGACCTGACGTCAACACTATGTCATCAAAATCGACACTGGTCTGTGAAGTGCAAACTTGGTTATCAAGAGCAACTTCAAAACTGATAAATGGATAATATCGCATCACACCGTCATAAAAGGGGACAGGTTTTGGGCCAGTTGTGTTATTATCTGTTGGAAAACACCAATTCAGGGCTTCATTACCTACTGAGAATTTCGAATTGAACCAAATTATAATACCAATAGACTCACCCCTATTACATGGGACTCCTAACATAAATAGTGAAAAGTGGGTGTTATATTGTACAGTGATGCCGAAATTTGGCACCTGCAGATTACGTAGGCAGAGGTGTCTATCTACACCTTCAGGGATAAGAGGCGTGATGTACCTAATGTAATATTATATGTACCTACGTATATATAATTATTATATGTATGTATATATACATGCCAAGTAATTATTATAATTGCTTGCCAAGGCAAGTTAAGTTTAAGGTTGAAGGCAAAATATCTATTATATACCTAATATAAATTATCTACCTACCCATGTTTGCAAATGAAGATGAATATGATAGGTACTAATAGCCTGATGCCCAACAGACACCAAAACACGGTAATAGTACAACAACATAACATCACGCGTTTTATCCTCGATGAGGTAGGTAGAGGTACACACATTATACCACTGTACAATGTAACACCCTTACGGTGATAGTAATCATTACCAATAACTGAGAGCCTCCTCCACTAAGAAGGCATTTCATCAGAGCCGAGCTTGCCATACTACCTAACTTGTTCAAGGCGTATTGGCAATTTGAAACTGAAAAAAAGAAAAGTTTTTACTGTAGGTCTGGCCTTTATAAACTTAGAAATTACGTAGGGTACCTAATTAGGAAAAGACTGGTAAAGGTAGGTACTTACAGTTACCAGATTCGAACCCCCATGCGTGAGAGACTGGCGTCACTGGAACTGGACAACTACATTGCCGGAGGTGCGCGACAACTTCGGTTACGACTGTGCGGCTAACCGTCCCGTAATGCTAGATGTAATCCCGTTATGAAATCCTTACTAATATTATAAATCGGAAAGTGAGTTGGTTTGTTTGTTCCGATTTCACGCCGTACCTACTATACTTGCTTTAAATTTTTGCAGACGTAAAGTTGGAAGTCTGGATTAAATAATAGAGTACCTACCTACTTTTTATGCCGTAAAAATTTGATATTCCCGAGGGAAAACAAAAGTATTGGTATAGATGGCGCCGTATGTATTGTCATATGTCACATAACTTTTTATCCTTTTATGACGCGAGCGAAGCCGCGGGTAAACGCTAGTAATTAATAAAATAAGCCCGTAAAATGTAAGATGCATCCCGCAAGTCCCGCATACCTATTTCTCTACTACACGCGCACGAGGCACGAACAACAGCGCGAAAAAATGAACATAACTTGTTTGACGAAATAAGTTACCTATGTGTGTGTAATTACGTGAACAATGATGTCCCGCCTCGAGTTAGGCGAGAGGAAGTGTCACTCTCTTACAGACTAAAAACCACCCCATTCCTACTCCTGCTCTTCAAGCCGGTGCCTCGGTAACCCGTTAGGTCTTCCGCGGCTCCGTATCAAGCAACAGCCCTATTGGGCCCTATCTGTGGTGGTCTGATGGCTCTTTGAGGCGCGCGCGAAACGCGACCGGAGATCATCGCGCGATTTCCGACGCCCGGAACATCTGTGACGGTTGGGGCGTGAGGAGATTCGTTCCCTCATGCGTGCCTACCGAAAGAGTATGTATGTATTTTTAATAGTGCTCTATGGACGTCGGAAAAATCGTCACTAAAAGTGAAAAGACTAAAGTTGCAAAGATTTTCATGACATACCTATTCAATAAGAATCCTGAACTTGTTAAAAAGTGTCACTCTAGAGATAAATATGATTTTAAAAATAGGTAACTTTTGTACCTAAGTTTTATGATTTTATGTAATTGTAGGTGTACCGACTAAACTTTATCCACAAAAAGTCCCGCATTGGACTTTCAGAAAGTTGTTCGCCTTACTTGGAAACTATTCTGGCACTAACGTAGCTACCTTCATACCAATGGTCTAAGGAACAACAAAACAAATAGCTACCTACCTATTCAAATAAAAATTTCGTGAGACATACTATTAGTAAATTAGTAGAGTTCTTTGTCAAACGGTTACGTAAGTAAGCCGAATACATATACTAATTAAAGTAGCTACCTACCTAATTTCCTATTTTGTAAATGCTGTAAGGAAGATAGAGTCAAGGACTTAAGCTTACGCATGGAAGGTACGTAAAGGATTTTTCCTACACATAACATTAGATATTTGTGGTCAGCGGTCAACCAATTAATCAGTACATGAAAAAAATAGTCAATGGGGCAACGTTTTATTAGTAAATCAACTTTTTGTAGAAGGACCCACCTACTTTTGAATTTTAAAGTTAACTGCTCTTAGTGCTCTTGACTTGTCATCATCAAAATCCTTAATTGCAAACTTTAATTAAAGTTATTCCAAAAAACTGATCGATACAACAATAATACTAATCATGTTTATGATATTTCACATTCATATTTTTTAATATAATATCTGATACTCTTATTTTCATTTACGATCTAAAAAAAGACAACTATGCAACTAATGTTGACACTTTATCGGAAGTTACCGGTTTTGCTTTACACTAGCCGGGCGTGGTGAAGTGCGGCTGCGCGACAATCGCGTTTTCGTTTTCTCAATGAAGTGAGTAATGGGACGTTGTTAACGTTCTTGTTTATTTATTTTAATTAAACTTATTTTAAATGATTTTATTTCAATTACAGTGAGTTTACATGTTTCTAAGTAGACAGTGAAGATTTAGTGCAAATGTTGTTGTGTTGTTTGCTTAAAATATAAAAGTGGAGAGTATCCATGGGCGTTGACTTCAGGTTAAGAGAATTGTTAACTTATTATTAAATTAAAAATAAGGTTAATCGAGTATTAAACTCGTTCTATCTTTACTTATTGATCTAGAATTTAGTTTATGAGACCGTTGTTATATAATTAACTGAACTTTTAACTGACAATAGTTGATGTTTATGTCGGCCAACGATTGTTGCGAATTCGAATCTCGAATGTAAACTAACTACTAAATAATTGCCAATACGATTATATTTACAAATTGTTTTTATGTTTCGAATGTCACTTTTGTTATTATTAGGTTTGACAGTAATTAATCATAAAATTATCAATGAACAACCAAAGTATATAGGATTTAAATGTCTAAGTGGAATATTATGCCAATAAGAATCATTATTATTTCTAACTGAATGTTACCTCAAAAGTTTATCATTCAATTTAGCTATGTAACAGGATATGATTAGGTATCTTTTTTTAAATCACAACGGAACATAGTTCCACAGTTTCTGTGGAACTATGTTGAGGTAACATTCAGTTAGAAATAATAATGATTCTTATTGGCTTAATATTCCACTTAGAATCTATTACTGACTTAAATAAAACTTTAACGCAAATTTTCTTTACAGGCAGACAAAATCCAAGACTGAATTATGAATCTCTTATTATTAGCATACATACTCTCTACAACAGTATTAGAACTATGCAGATCACAAGACTATGCATCTCCAACATACAATCCAGATTTCAGTCAGACAAACCCTACAAATGATTACCTGAACTCTGACCCAAAGTATGACAACCCATATGATCCAAACAGGAGGTATCAAAACCGCAACCAAAACTTTCCAAACCAACAATACGATCCTAATCGTCCTTATGACCCCAATCGGAGTCAGTATGACCCAAACAGGGGTCAATATGATCCAACTCGCACCCAATATGAGCAGGATCAGAGGTACAATCAGTTTGAGAACCGGAACCCAGATGTGAACTATAATGCGAACCCGTACACTCCTGATAACACCCCAAGACCTTCATGGGATAGCAGCAGGACATACAGTACTTCTTTTAAGGGTGCTCCTTTGGAACATGAAAGTGTTATTATCAATGAAGCGTAAGTATACTCATTTTTTATCATCATACAAATATATATATATAAAAAACAAAAAAAAATTCATAGTCTAAAAAGGAAAATGAAAGATCTAGCCATTTACACACGTCGCGGAGAACCTATCGGGTTACCGGGGCTCCGGCGGGACGTGCAGGAGAAGGAATGTGGTGGTCTTTAGTCAGTAAGGGTCTGACACTCCCTCCGACCTCACCCAGGCGGGAGCAGTCATTCCTTGATTTTACCCCCTTCAAAAAAAAAGCCATTTACACACCTTTAGGCTTATATAACTGCAGTTCTTCAAAAACATTCTTTTCCTTTATGCAGCACCCCTTCAGTGTCTGCCCTATGTCTACACAACACTTTAATATAATTAATTTAACTTAGCCCAAACAGCTAATAAAAAATGCCTACTTAAGATTTTAGAAACACATATGTTTATTTAAAATGAACTTAACTATTTGACAGAACATACTTCATAGTAGCATCAAAGATGGTACGTCCTGGCCAGATATACAAAATATCAGCCAACATCCTGCAGGCACGCATGCAGATGACTATTAGAGCTTCCATTTCTTGCAATGGAGTGGAGATTGCTGATGTCAACCAGAGAGTCAATGAAGGAGTGCCGGAGATATTGAATATGAGGGTGAGTATTTAGTTTATACATTACCTGATACTGGTTTTATGGACATATACGGACCAGGTGGCTTACTCTCGAATTGAATACCGATAGATCGACATTGGTATTGTGAAATTTTGTACTCTTGAGTTGGAACACTAGCGCCCATTGCATCCGTATTGCGTGGATATTGAATGAACTAAATCGTATTGAGTTGGTTTTATATTCCGTACTCTAAATGCTATATTAACAGCTGCGATTGTGGTTGTATTGAGTTTTGACATTGAATAATTATTGAGATTTTATTGGATTGAAATTGCATTGACATTGAGATTGGTTTCAAGAGTAAGCACCCTGATTGGCGATATATAAGTATTTTAAAGAGGGACAGAATTAAAAGTACCCTTAACCGACGAGCATGCATGAAAAGATTGATGACTGTTGATGAAGTGAAAGAGGTATGTAGGAATCGTAGTAATTGGCATTCCATAGTCTCTGACAACACCCATTAGAGACAAGTGTGAAGTTATGTACGTATGTGGTTTGATGATGCCTATAATAATATAGTAAGTCTCTTATTACATGTTTAACAGCTATTGCAAATTAAAAAAAAATCCATTTTGTCTCATGTTTCTGGTCTTATCCTCTCTCCTTATAGCCATACAAAATAGCTCTAAATGACAAGACATTGAAAAATAAAAGTCATTTTGTTCTTAGGTTTGCCTTTTATTACAACCCTTATAATAAATGCAAAACTTATTACAATAAAATTTCTTGTTCCTCAACAGGTGCCTCCAACTACAGTGCCAGGTGACTACAAGCTTCGCGTCGAAGGTCTGTACCTGGACACACCATTCGGAGGGCGCGCCTTCGTCAACGAGTCTCAACTGGTGTTCTCCAGGCGATTTATGACCATATTCATACAGATGGACAAACCTGTCTACATGCAGGGACAAACTGGTGAGCAATTTGATTTTTTTTTGCGTTTTTATAGAGTGGTCTGAAAAGGACTGACTGTTTAAAAGGCCTACTTACATGGTTTAGCAATATATCTTATTTGTTGAGATAATAAATAAGGTTGATTTTCATACTCTTACATAATAATAGGACAAATACCCAATAATATTTTACCTTATTTGGTAACAGAACCTGAGAGTCCTTGCGAATGCGAAAATTAGTATAAGTAAGATATCGCTTTTAGCGATAAGGCCGCCCTTGTACCCTCTTTATTTTCTGTAATTTCTTGATATTGTATAATTACTCGCTTGGTGTACAATAAAGCATATTATTATTATTATTAGTTTTGTACGTGATTTTATACTCCTATATTTTTTTGTTTCAGTTCGTTTCCGTGTGATCCCCATAAACACGGAACTGAAGGCATTCGGGCGAGCTATCGATGTTTACATTCTCGATCCTAATGGCCGCATCATGAAGAGATGGCTCTCTAGACAGGTGATTTATCATTTTAGTACTGAAGTGTTCTTACAACTTTTTATGACAGAATTGACGAACTTTACAATTGCAGCCCGAGTTTTTTTTAAGTACCAGAATTTAAAAAAAAACAATACACCTTTTCTTTGAGATAGACGCTCATTTAAGTTTGTTTTAGAAACAACAGGTAGAAAAATGTTACAAAGTGTATTCTAAGATTTTGACTGTTAATGAATGCCTAAATAAACTAGGCGGGGACTATTCTGGCTATTCAGCAATAACTACTAAAATATCTTTTAAGTAGAAACGAACTCTTGCAATTCTGTTATTCTGCAGTCTTGACACCATTTATTGTTCATTACAAAGTTTGATAGGATCACAATAAGTGAATAATGTTCTATTGTGCACTTGTGCCACACGATCGGATAGGCTTGTTAGGATCAAGTGGACGCCATTGTTACCACCAATCTATGAACGACACAAGATATCTTATGACCTTACTATATGTACAAACCAGATATTCTACTAACGATGTATGAAAAATAGACAATAAAGATTATGTCCCAATCTCTTTATCCGTTTGGAACTAACATACATGAGCCCAAAAAAGTAAAAAAAAAGTATACTAATTTTTCGACTGTCTTAAAAATTACAAAAGTATTAAAATACGACAAGATATTTTTAATGCATTCTCAATGCTTCAAAGTTTAGAGTCATGAATTAATTTGGATATTTAATGTGTAGGTTTGTGTTAATTAATTACATGTAGTGTATTGTTTACCATTATTGCCACTTACTAGTGTTAATGGGGTCACAAAGAAGTTGCATTTAATTATACAATGAATGGATTTACTACTACTACAATACTTTTTGTTCAAATAGTAGAATATTTTTTTAATCCATAACATTTAATAGAGAGAGGAATACATTCCTTTTAGGTCAACTTTTTTATGAATAATAATTATATGGTAACAAAAATATCATCTTTAAGTTAAGACAAATGCAAATCAACATTATTTTGTTTAATGATAAGGTTGAAAATACAATAATATTTCCTTTTATTTGTACAGAGTAACTTCGGTACAGTAAGTCTGCAGTATCAAATGTCGGACCAGCCTTTGTTCGGCGAGTGGTCTATCCGCGTAGAAGCCCTGGGACAGATTGAGGAGACAACCTTCCTTGTTGAAGAGTACTATCAGACTCGATATGAGGTATGTATCAAATAATACAAGATTTTGTGACCTGTTCACAGTTTACCTTTAGCATTTTAACTGTTTAGACATAACATGTAGGCACTAGGCCAGTGGAATGTCAACAACACCTAAAATTTATGACCAATTAGCCTTTCCACTTTTTCTTACTACCATCCTCATATTCAAAAGGCGGGAAACATACTTGTAATTCTTATGGTATTGCTAATGTTGAGAGGCGGCATCAACTGCTCACCATCAGGTGACTCAAAAAATACTAATATATCAAACACCATAGTGCCGTCAGTAAAATAATTAAATATTGTCATAAACTACTGTACCTTCCCACCTAGGTGAACGTAACGATGCCAGCATTCTTCTTCAACACGGAACCGTTTATCCACGGCCGTATAATGGCGAACTACACGTCGGGCGCGCCGGTGCGAGGCAACCTGACCCTGAAGGCGACCATCCGTCCTATACCACAGTACCGGCCCAGGTACTACACGCAGGGACAGTTCAACAACCGAGGACAGTTCGGAGTCCCTGCTGGGTATGGCGGCAATCAGTATACCAGAGGTAAGGAAATATTCTTAGGTAGTTTGAAGTCACTAGATAGTATTATTGTTGTAGCTTGATTAAATGAGACATAGTTTCTTATGGAATTACGAGAATATAATGATTTATTCACTCATTATTTATTTGCTGGATAGATTATGTAAAAGTTTGAAGTCGTCGTAGAGAGATGTGGCACCAATTAATGATTCTTTTATTTGAACAGACTGCAGAACCAACAAATTTTGACATGTCTCACACTAATAGTCAAAGAAAAATGATTCAATTATTGCTTAAATTAATTGATACAAATACTTAAAAAAAAAAACTACATATTGTCAGTTTATTCTCACGTAGAATTAGAGTCTAATTTTAACAGATACTACAAGTTAAATAAACACTTATAAAATTAACCAATCTTGTCCGCAGTCCGTCAAAACTACCCCTTCAACAACGGTTACAACAACGGTTATAACAATGGTTACAACGACACGAACTACCAACAACAACAGTATGACACCAACTACGGACAGTCGTACATAGACGAGTACGGCAGGGTAGTGAACAAGGAGCCGCGCTATATACCCGGCCAACCCAACCAGTTGGAGCAACCTGACTGGTGGTACGATCCACAGAAAGTTGTCACTAGGATGTTTAACTTTGTAAGTAAAGAGCGTACTATTTTTCCGATATAAATATGATATCATTTGTCCAATCACTGTAGATGTCAAAATTTAATGGTCAATGACTGCACATAGGCAAGTAGTTTATTGGACATAGTCCTTACGTTACGCTAGCGATTCTGGCGGGGAACTCACTCACGATAACCCTAATTTTTTCCCAAGTTGAACATTTCATTTCATGTTTGAACATTTTATAAAGTTATCTAACGAATCAGATAAACTATTAGATTAACAACATTCCTGTAGGTAATAGATTTAAAACAAATCTACTGATTTATTCTTCTAATTCATATTTTTGTCTACAGGATGAAAAGTATCCATTCTGGATGCCGAAGCCGGACCCGACGCAATACGCGATCGAGCACAGCAACAACAATAACAACCCGAACTACAACACATACACAACTACGACAACATATAACAACTATTACAACAACCCCTACTACGATCAGTTGCCGTATTTGAGATTTGTAAGTGAATCTTATGCCTTATATTATCTTTGTTTAATGTAAATGGTTTCTGGCCTTCTGAAAAATATTTTAAAACGAAATTTAAAAATATCCAGTCGGTTGTTTTAACTATTTTTACTAGGTTTAAAACTATGCTTTTAAACCTTTTAAATTAAGTTTGAATTAGATTAAACAGTTTAACAAATCAAATCAGAAGATTTACGTAAAATGTTCAAACTATTAAACCACTTTCGCAGTTCAACGGTACATACGATTTCAAATACCCGATGTCGGAGTTGGCCCAGCTGGTCCCAACGCTGGACGGCGTGGATGTGATCATCACGGCGTCTGTAGGCGACCCCTTCTTAGATGAAGTCATTGAAGGATACAGCATCGCCAGGATCTTCAACTCTTCATTACAAGTCACCTTCCTTGGCGGGACCCCGCAAGTCTTCAAACCTTCTATGCCCTTTGATGTTTATGTAAGTATAATTAAGTATATATTTACACAAACTTAATTAAAAAAAAAAATCACAAAAATAGATATAGTAACTTCAAGTTGTATTTACATATGGTGCTATCTCTATCATTTTAAAAAGAATTTGGAGTGACAGAACTATTGTTGAGAGTATCTTAAAATTGAGTGACGTTAGAGTATTTGACCATTATGTTTATTTGGTCAGATGGTGGTATCGTACCACGACGGGTCCCCGCTGCCCCGCTGGCAGGCGCGCGGCGTGTCCCTGCAGGTGCACGTGGTGGTGGAGGGCCGCGGCGGGGCCGTCGAGCCCCAGCAGCCCACGCTCGTGCCCGGACATGACGCCGTCTGGCATCTCAAGCTGGATCTCTACAAACTGCTGCGTAAGTATATTACTTCATTATGATTATGGTTCTCTATATTTTCAGTACCACTGTATTGTGAATGGAAAAAAATATAAATTTCTTTTTAGTGTACTTATAATTTTTAAATCTCTGACTATGATTCTAGAGTTTAGATCTTACCAATTTTTCATCTTTATTGACTTGACCGACTGAAGTGATTACATATTAAAAACTATCTTTATATGTTTTATCTTGCAGTTCCTTTATATCTTATTCAATTTACATTCAGTCAAAAAAGTATCGGGATTGGATGATTTGTTTATAGTTCCAAATTAAAATTTTAGTTCTTTTGTAGTTGTTAGATTGGCACAACTGTTTTCCATTTTGGCGCGGAGTTTGAGTTGCATCTGTTATAAATTAAATACAGTTCTGGTTTTAGTAATATCAT